TGCATAAAAGTAAATCATTAAGATTGAAGAAGCAATCATTTGTTCAACTTGTTTGAAAATTCAAGAGGATACTCACCACTCACCAAAAATTGCACTACCTTAAAATACCACTTAGGAATAGCTTCAACTTGAAAAACCTACTTGTCTAAACTCTCAAGATCCACTTGAAAAAAATTTACATTTAGTAGCTCATCATCAACACCCTTTTCTTCATCCACAATAAAAGTTGGCAACCAAGAAAGATGATCTGGCATACTAAGACTTTGCCCAGGCTTAAGACTTATTTTAAATTGGAACCCTTGTTAATATAGCACATGTGATCATAGGATAAGATTTGGATAAACTATCACCGTGGATCCTTGGAACCTTGGGGGATAAATGGGGATAAAATAGCCACTAAGGGCTCTCTCATTAAACAATTGCCCTTTTTCCAGTTGGCTTAAGGGGAGAGAGATAAAATGCGCTACAGTTAAAATTTGCAACCAACAAGTCACTCTACCTGTCCTACATGGTTTCAAAATAAGATACTTCCAGGCCTAGTGATCAATATAAAAAATAAACACCTTGCCCAACAAATAGTGTCAATATTGTCGCACTGCAAAAATGATTCTCAGTCCTTCTTGCTCTATTGCTGAATAGTTCTTCTCTGTTGTAGAAAGTTGTCTACTATCATAACTCAAAGGATGATCCCATCCATCTTCAAAAGGCAGATGTTAGATTGGTATCAAGAATTCCATGTTCACTTAGATGCATAGTAGTAGTAGTGATTGGTTCAGTTTTATACCATCAAAATTGGGGCTATGACCAAAGCTTGCTTCAATTCTTCAAAAGCCTACTAACACTTCTCATTCCACTCATATTTTATATCCTTACATAGCAACTCAATCAATAGCATAGCTTTTTCAACATATCTCCTCACAAATTTGCAATGGTATCTTACATATCCCAAAAAAGCTTGCAATTGCTTCACATCTACTAGAGCTAGCAAAGCTTGAATAGCTTTTTTCTTACTAGAATCAATTGCTAATCCTTTGGGAGACAATCCTTCCCAACAATACTCTATGCATAACTCCAAAATTGCACTTAAAAGGGTTGAACAAAATTCTAAATTGCTTACACCTGTCAAAGCAGTTAGCAAGCCTCTTCTCATGCTATTCAACATCAGTGAACACACTAAAATCATCCAAGAATACCTCCATGAAATTTTGCATAAAAGGTTGGAAGGTTGTTGTTACCACTCTTTGGAAATTCACAAGTGCATTTGTTAAGCCAAAAAGCATCACTTGATATGCATAGCATCCCCATTCTATCACAAACATAGTCTTAAGCTAGTCCTTTTTAGCTATTCAAACTTGATTGTAACCACTAAAATCATCAAAAAAAAGAGTAGAGCCCATGGCCTGCAATTAAATCTAGCACTATATCCATAAATGGCAATGGAAAGCCATCTATCCTTGTTGCATCATTTAGCTTCCTATAATCTATATAAATTTGGAGTTGACCATTCTTCTTCTTGACGACTACAATTGGAGAAAGGCACTCATTAACTTCCACTTTAAAGATAAAACCAACTTGCAATAGCTTCTTAATCTCCTCTCACAGCTAGGATTGGAATGGTAAAGTTGTTGACACATTGGCACAACACCAAGAATTAGAGAAATCATGTGGATAGCTAGAGCTGGATCAATCTCCTTCATGTCCTTGTATGTCCACACAAAAACATCTCGATAATGTGAGACACAAAATCCCTAGGCACTAAAGTGGAGCCGGAAGGGCGCCACATGGTAGTGGCCGAAGCGAAAGCCAAACGAGTGTAACACGTTTGGACTAAAAGCTCCGACTTGGAAGGTCAAGAGCGGGAGTGGAACTCCCAACAAAGTGCTCGAGGAGCGAGCACGAGGCAACCAATAAGCAAGGCTCCAAAAAGGGACCCAAAAAGGACTAGCACATGACATGTGGAAGTGTCTGAGATGGAGTCCGAGAGGGAGTCTGAGGTGGACCGAGATGGAGTTCGAGATGGACCAAGACGGAGTCTGAGATGGAGTCCGAGACGGAGTCTGAGGTGGATCGAGACGGAGTTTGAGATGGAGTCCGAGATGGACCGAGACGGAGTTCGAGATGGAGTCCGAGGTGGACCGAGACGGAGTCCAAGAGGGAGTCCGAGATGGACCCGAGATGGAATCTGAGATGGAGTCCGAGATGGAGTCCGAGAAGGACCCGAGATGGAGTCCAAGGTCGAGATCGAGCCCGAGCCCGAGCCCGAGCAGTGGAGCCAGTTTGGCCAGGAAAGGCCAATTTGCCCTAGAGAGGCTGCACCCAGTGTTGGGTGATGAGCTGACCACTGGGAAGTCCAAGACTAGAGTGAACACGGACCGACAAGCGGGGTAGATTGGTAAAGTGTTCAAGAGCCAGCTTTAGTTCCCCCGGGAGATCATCTGGCCGATGCTCCCAGTGCAAGTGTGGGTGGCACTACCTACTTGGATATCTAGTGTGGCTCAATGGAACCTCGCTCTAAGCCCATGGCTAAAGCACCTAAAGGCAAAAGGCAGGGAGAGTACCCACGAGGCCCGCGTAGGGCCACGGTGTTCCAAAATGTCGTCCCAAGGTCCCAGACTGTGGAAAGGAAGAGGAGTAGCCCTTTGGTATGGTGACCAAGGACACAGTCACACAGGGAGGAAGTCCTAAAGGACAATGGGACTTAGTGGTCAGGCCCGTGGGCCTTGATCCAGTGGCAGTGTTGGCGAACACGGCCAAGGACGGAAAGGGACTTAGTGGGGACTGGAACGGAGATATTGGGGAAGGCTAATCCCCATGTCTGTGAGCATCCTAAGGATGCTAAGGAGGATCTGGGATGATCACTCATGGATGGATGGCCCAGTCTTTGAGTGACGGGACTGGGATGCAGGTGGTGTCAGACCATCGGTGTGACCAAGGTGAATGGGCATGGCATTAGCGTAATGGGCTAATATGTTGGTGGTACCTTGGGGTGTTGGTCATGGGATTGGACACGTGGAGCACTTGGACCAAATGCAAAGGTTGAGTGGCGGGGATGCCATTCTCGGGGCTAGTAAGCCCAAGTCCAAAATAGGATTTACGAAGGTTGTGAGTAAGACTCCTCCAAGTGGTCGGAGGTGCAATTAAGTGACTAAAGTAAAATGGAAAAATTTAGTCGCTTACAACTTGGTATCAGAGCTGTTCCTTAGTCTGACTTTTATTGGTGCTCAAGTATATCACATCTGGTGTTGGCATCGGAAGGTCTGAGGAGTGGGCCTATCCTTGAGGAGTAGCAGGTCGGGAAGACATGGTTCTCCATTACAGTTCATGTGTGAACTTGTAGGTGAGGTGGTGGATAGAAAAGGGCCAATAATGGAATGACTTTGGGATCTTGGGAACAGTGCAAGGTTTTCCTCATTGAGTTGAGGATGTGATCCAGATTAGTATTTGACTCAGCAAATTGGCTAATGTAGTTATGGTAAACAACTATAGTTGGGATCATAGGGAAGATAGAGACTCCAAAACG